AGCTTTTTTTTTACTCGATACAAATATAAGTGTCGCGAACCGTTTCAGTTATGTATGAAAGTAGTTTTTGTTCAGTGTTTTAGATCAGAAAAGAAACAAATGCAGTTTATAAAGTACGGAAACAAGAAAAGACCCGTCGACAAACCCGCCACCAAGCGGTGAAAAAAACGGCGCATACAGTAAAACCTTGTTATAACAAAGTTGAAGGAGCGGTCGTAATTATTTCGTTATAACCATTAGTTTGTTATAGCCAATGTCCATTTCTTCCCACTATTAGCAAGCAAGGGGAATTATGATTGCTTTGTTATATCCCGTTTTGTTATAACGTGGTTTTACTGTACTAGAAAGGCGTAGTGGGATGAGGCTCCGACGAACAATGGGCTTAGAAAGGTCCCGGATGTACGCGGTGGCGCTGCGGTCGTATACTGGCTCGAGGATCCGACCGGTTCCGAGCGTTCCCAAGGCTTTCGGCGCGGGCTTGGCTGGCGATTTGACCCTTTGGCGGTATGGCAGCGCGAAGTGGCTCCTGTTCTGAACTGATCTTTACCCCCTGTTTACCGTGGTTTGTGGCCAATGAAGTGTTATGCCGAATTAGTCTTTAATCGCGCGGCAAATGCAATGCGAGCTGCCCTGGCCGCCCACTTCATACAGCCTAGTCAACACGTGCTTTAGTGGCACCCTCTCGAGCCGTCGACACGGAGTGCGGCAGCCGTGAGCGCTCGATGAGCTCACTACTTCACGGCCACTCAAACCAGGACCTACGACGTCATGAAGGACGTTATTTTTTGCTTGTTTTTGTAAGTCTAATTTGCCTATAACTTTTAAAATAAAGCGAAATTTGAGAAAAGTTTCTTTAAATTACCACGTTCAGTGCGCTCAGGTTCGGTCCAAATTAAAAACCAGTCCAAAAGTTATTGCAGGGCCACTTTAACGCTCCCAATGACGACAAACGAGCAAAAAACATGTCTGCAGCACGCTGCCGGCCAGCCTCTGCAACGATCCAAAAGGTTAATTTTCCGTGTCCCAAGATGGTCGTCCGGCAGCCGCAATCACGGAGCGGGGAAGCGCAATTTAGCAATTGTTGTAGAGATCAGTAAAAAAATATGGAATGCATACCCTCCTAGCATCCATCAGGTAGGGATAAGCATTCTTTGCAGTCTATATGCCCATCAATATCAACACATGTAGCCATTTGCAGGCAGTCGCATCCTTTTGAAGATCAATCTGGCCTTCGTCAGGCACCAGCTTTCGCTCTCAGCACACAGCCACTGTTGGTGGGCTTCGAGGCTGCTCGCATCTTCACCCTCCACAGGCGGGGCAGCCCCGGTCTGTAAATGTAGAATATGAATATGGCAGGTATTATTTGATAACACTTTAGGTTTTGGCCGTGTAAAGAAAATCTGCATTCCATTTTCTAACATATCTGTTATGAAATAACAAGGTCAGGTGGAACGGCTCGAGTTCGCTGACTGGAAGACAGAGGGCTTAGCCTGAACCAATATCCTAGCAGCCTTCGATATTGGTGTGGGGGGAGAGAAGGCTGAACCTCTAAAGATGTCTTCAAATGATTCTCTAATTGCTTAACTCCAAAGTTTCAGGCTGCTGCACTTTAACGTTCTGAACTTTTTCCAACATATATTTGCGCTGTCGCTAACCATGTTCCATTTGCCAATTTTTTACACGCCCCTTCTCCTCCAATCAGAACAGCACGAGAGTCCGCCGTGAACAGACTTGGCATCATCGTGTGTCATATATCCCCGATGATTGCCTTCCCCACTAAGATGCATTAAAGCCAAGGCTCGAGCACATGTAAGCTCATAGCATCGCTAGATGGTCGCACTGCACGAACCCTCGTGCAGCCTGAGTATCTACTAGTACTGGTAAAAGCGAGCGAGTTGAAAATGAATACTTAAAATCGAAAGGATAAAGCGCGAGGGACAAGCCCAGGACAACCACGTAAAGCCTGGTTCAAACAGTTGCGTTTGACCGCGTTGCGGCTGCGAGAAACCAGGACATCCCTGCTGCTTATATCGCATGCCAAGATGATTCTTTGAATTGGAATCCACGCTTCATACGAAGCACAGATGTGCCGGTGACTCGTTTTCGGTTCTAAACGCAACGCAGACAAACACACTCAAACGCAAGTGTCGGAACCGACCTTAACGGTACAGGCTCACAGTAAAGCTGTGAGCCCGAACCGTCTCGCACGTCTAGCCTTCGCTTTAGTACATCTCAGGGTGATACGGAATGTATCATAATAGAACCGATGTGGTCTCACCATTCTGAGCAGAAGTGCGTGAGTAACCGATGATATTTTCGTGGTCGCTTGCACGTAAACAACCAAGGAGCTTGTACACAACGCCGGCATTCATCTGGCTTGAAAACAACTTGAGCGTTGGCTTGGCTTGGATGTCAGCTGCCCGTTGTGCTTACTTGAACTTCACGAAATCCTCTAAATTGAGCAGGCTGCTTCTTGACTTCTGCTGTCGGTGCGTATGTCTGCAATTCGGCGGTTTCCGAGTTCGACGATTCGGAAATCATGGGTGTACCACCGCAACACCCTCTTAACACGATTTCGGTAGCCGTAGGGTGTAAAAAGGATGTACGAAGGGTGTAGGCCTTTCCGTACACCCTTGAATATTCAAAAATCATGTAAAAATGGTGTAGGAAGGGTGTGAGCTCGGAAAAACACCCTTTTAACACGAACATGGGTGTTGAAATTTTTAGTGTGTGGGCGATGCGTCGGCGCGTCGGCTCGTCTGCTTCCCGGGGCGTCTGCAGGCGTGCGTTTGCGGGACACATGATCCTCCTTTCCGTGGATCCCGACTCCGAAGCCAGCTTTGCGATCCTTCCACGTCAACGAGTCAAACTTTTCCTTGTCATCTGTGGAATGCGACTGCGTATTGCAGTAGCAGCGCGACGGTGCGGTGCGACGAACGACGACTGCCGAGCACAAAGTCCGGGCCCCTTGACGACGGTCCGCGCGTGTTCAAGAGATTCCTCCGCGGGTCGGCGGTCGGCCGCGTTGGTGACGCGCAGTGACGCCGGAATCCTTCGCCTGCTATTGGCTGACGCGTAAAGAGATGCGCCTCCCGTTTTCCGGGCTCATCTCAGAAAGGGAGGCGTGCCGTGGACTTTGATAGCAATTTTAGTAGAGAAATCCGCCGCGCATGACCGTAATTTTATGATTTTTAGGATCCTTAGGGCCTGTAGATTGAGTTACCGCCATAAATAGATCATCGCATAACGATCCGGAGGGCCCCTTTAACTAATGTCAAACCTGAATATTTGATGGAGTTCAAAGACTACCACCGTACGAACTCGCCCGGTTATTCTTTCTGTCAAAGAATAATAGCCAATAGTAATAAACAAATAAATGCCAACTATTAATTGGTTGCAAAGACGTAATTGGTGCAGTGCAGCCCTACGCTACTCTACTCTTTTGATGATATCAGGTAATGTGTAAATGTATAGGGCAGTTCATAGCAACCATTTATGTCCGACCCATCCCTATTGAAAAAGGCCAATATGAACTCGGCTTATTGGAAATATTGTATTCCACTGAGGTTGGTGGAAACCAATAAAAACTTATTGTTATCCGATTAACCCAATACGCGCGATGTGAATTCATATCGGAGCACAATAACCCGATATAGTATGCGGTTATTGGTATACAACAGGATATTGGAGCACAATATCCCGATATAACTTGCGGTTATTGGTATACAACACGATATCGAAGCACAATATCCCGACAGAACTTACGGTTATTGGAATAGAATATGACATCGCGTGCATATTGGGGACCGACATGGACATACTGTGCGGCCACACTGGCCACACGAAATATAAATATCGTTCGTCGATCACGGGCCCAGAAAGAATACAATATGGTATCGCGTGCATAAATCTCAGAACGAATTCCAAGTTACCAACATGAATTACGTCGGCATCAACCGCGGACTAAGAGGAAACGTAACACAATATTGAACGTCCGTGAAGCAACATGCGGATATCGGTATGCCCACATATTCGACATCGCGTGAATGATATCGTAAAACAGCAGGAGTTACCATACGGCAATACGAGAGAGAACGATATTGGAGGTGGATGCACACAGAAACACGAAAGTTCCGCGTTGCAAACACATTCACATGGATCGAAAGCGCAAGTATACTACGTACGGCTGTTGGTACGGCGCACAGTACAGACAGCCTCGCGCGCTTGAAATGCTAGACAACCACCAAACCATTCAGAATAACTAGGTGGAACACCCGCGACCTACCTTTTATTGAGAAAGCCCAATAACGACGTGCTTATTGGAGTGATCGTTTTCAAACAAATGTTTATTGCAGTTGTTGTAATGCAACAAAAGTTAGGTTCCCTGTGTTGAAACCCAAATCGAACACGATGCGTGACAATGTCAATTCGCACGATAACATCACGTGCATGTAGTTGCTTCTTACCCGCATATTTATCGATATTGACCCACCTTTCTGGGTAATCCTACGTCGTACACAAAATCCACGACCACATGCGAGCACATTTCACCCACCACTCTTCATCGCCTGTTTCGCGAGATGCACAAACTGTAAAAAACGACGTGAAAACTACGTGCATTTGCGCCATCAAACGATACGTTACAGACTCGTTTTTTTTTTGAGAAGGCAAGTTTCCATTGTCAACCCGCGCGCGCGAAAGCTCGAGCTGCGGAAACAGTTCGCTTTGGAGCGTTCGGAGGGAGTAGGCAGTTCGCTTCGCCGCGAGCCCAGCGAGCCGGTGAGCCTGCGCGCATGCGCTGCCTACCATATGCTGCCTGCGCTGTAGCCGCTGTAGCCATGGAGAATAGGCTGTAGCCCATCGAGTCAGCGAGCCGCCGTCCGAGCCCAGCGGCCCCAGCCGCCCCAGCGGCCGAGCCAAGCCTGGCCGAGCCGTTGACGCCAACTGCGCAGCGACCGACCCGGCAGGTTCGTCAAGTTCGTCGCGCACTTTGCTTGTGGGCTCCAAGTGAAACCAACGCGCTTTCAATCGCTTCGAAAGGTACGTATACACGACTTTATTGCTTGCAGCATTGAGTGCTTTGTATACACAGATCAAAGTGAACACTGAAGGAGAGAAAGGAGACATGATGTTTTGAAATCGCAGCTTATTTTAACGCACGTGTCCCCTGTTGAAAGCCTCTGGCTGTGCTCTCTTGCAGGCGTTCTTTCGACTGCGTGTACTCCGATGTAACGTCAGTCAGTGTTCACGCTCGGCTAGCTTCGCTATCTTGTTATCTCATGTGCCAAATAGACGTAAAAACCAGCGTATTGTCTCTTTCGGATATTCAACCTCCAGCCCCCCGGCTCCCAGCGTGCTTGCCGGCGCAAAGGCTCGTTGGGCTCGTTCGAACAGGCATTGTTTGAAGCTGACGAGTCGCCGAAGTGTTACCAAAGCTTCTCTTTACGAAAGTCGCGATCGACGCTCGACTTTGAGCTCGTACTTTTTTCTTCCCTGGTAGACTATGAGTGCCGACCACTGATCTGTGGTGCCGAATGGCGCCGAACGAAGTTGAGAAACGCTAGCGAGTCAGTCGGATTTTCGTGACGCCGCCCAACTGCTCTGCTACCGGCTGCGCTCAACAAATAATGTAAGAAGGAAACAAAAAAAAAAAAAAAAGTGTTTTTTTTTTTGTTGTTGTTTTCCACCTCATTTAACGCAAAGTAAATCGCGGCTGTACGTTGGTTGACTCCCGATTACTGTCTCAACATGGTAGAGTCTCCTTACAACTGTGTCTCTTTGCTGTGATCTTATTCTGATATCGTTACATCTTGCTTTTTCATCTTGGCGCACTTCTAGACGACCTTCTACACGTTGCACATCTTGTCGACATGTCGCTGGTGTTTGAGACAAATTGGAAGTCACTGTTTGCTCACTCCTTGGTGCACATATTTCATGTTCAACATCGGGTATCTTAAGGAGGCGGCATGAAACCCTGGAGTTTGTTCAGAGGTACCTCAACATACTGTATTAGAGTGCCGTTTTGTGTGGTGTAGTTTCATACAAAACGAAGTGGCACTTTCTTTGCAATATACCCTATAATTGTTCACTACAATTAGAGTTGCAATGAAACATTGGCCACGAGAAACTCGGCCAACGCGGCCGAAAAATGTCTCGCATAATTTTCTCCATTGGTCATTTTGGACGTTGACAAATTTTCTTGTGAGTAATAAGTGTTATGGACATGTGTTTCTTCTACTTTTTGTTCAGGCACCTCAGTTAGGTAAACCCCAGCAAATGCAGCAAGACAGTCTCATGGGGTTACACGAAGGATAACGGCATTCCTGCTCGAGTCCGAGTCTTGTCACCGAGCTTCACTGAGCATAATGGTACATTCCCTTTCCTTAACTTTTCCCTCTAAAATGTGTTTTTCTGTTGTTGGTGCTTTTTTTCTTTTGAAAAAAATGTTAATACAATGTTTAAACACCCGATGTTGTTTTGTTTTTTTTCTAAAATATGTAGTACATCGTTTAAACACCCAAGCGTTCGTAAATGGTCTCTGTACAAGACAATAGGGTGTCTTATACTCCATTTCATACATAGCGTGCAACGCTGTCAAAGGTACTGAAGTGGTGCGCATAAAAAATAGAATAAAAAAATGCGTTACTCCGCGCGTTTCGTGGACGAGTGGTAGAAGGCACTGCTCTGGTGATACTGACCTCTCAGTGGCGGTGGTATAAACCCACTTGACGCGCACAAAGTTTTTTTTTTTTTTTTTTAGACATAATTTTTGTGCAAGATTGTGCGCATTGCCGAAGTGCGTATCTCAATTCCTCCTTTCTTGCTTTTTATTTATAAGTCGCCGAGGAGCCAGATTGCTACCATCTGCTCTGCCGCTTTGCAAGTGTTATTTGCCTCCGGCACAGAGTTATATTTTTCTTTCGTGCAGTGTGGAATGAGGAATCGCCCTGATAGCAGCTTTGTCCCAAAATTTATAATAAGACATTCATCCACAGTAGTTGCAGCCTGTACAATTTATTTTGAAATAGCTGTCAAGGGTTGGAATCTCCCTCTCAGAGTACTTGCGAGGCACCTTCAGATGAATGGCGTGTGTGAACTCATCATGCTTGACGGTCCCCGTGCTCGAAACTTTCATTTTGCGAGGTCTTCGCTTCGGGGACGCCACCTTTCCAGATAGGCACTGCGCCTTGCACTTAAAGGGACCATGAAATGATTTTAAAATCGAATTTCATCCACCGCGCGTCGTAAAAGGTGTGAAAAGAAACACAAAACCACAAAAATAGGGAGCCAAAAAAAATTATTTGCTATAGAACTTTTAAAAGAAAACTGGACTCTTCTGCGCCTTCTTTTACTACGATGCATCCGCGGAAACGGAGCACGTCAGCCGAATCCACGTCGCCTATTGGGTAAGCCTACCTCACCAGCACCGCGATCGTAAACAATAAATAGCCGGCGAATGTTTCCTAAAAGTTTTGTTAAATAATATTCAGATCCAGATTTTGTAGCATAATTAGAGATGTGTGGCGAAAATTTCCAAATTTGATCATGCTGAGAGCTAAGCGCCATCTATCGTGTGGTAAACGAAGCAACTACTGCGCGTGCGCAGTAGGGCAGCTTGGGTCGCGACGACCGCAACGACCGGCGAACGTTTATTTCCTTTGATTTCCTTCCTCTCAAAACTCCGACTGACTGAACGTTTATTTTTCTACGTGTTCTTCTCGCGCGTGCCGACTTCAAGCAGCAAGAAAAAAAGTACTTAAAACAGACCACGGCGAACAAGAACGGTGGATCCACAAACACCCGAGAAAAGCGACTCCGACGAAGCGAGCTGCTCAGAATATAGGCCTAGCAGGCACTCCGACTCGGCGCAGCGTTGCTTCGTCGCAAGACCGTCTGCCTACGACCGGCTGGCGTGCTGAATGGAATATGCCCGCGCTACCCTTGCGGACCCTTCTCGTATTATAGTTTGATCGCTGACCTCAATTTTAGATTAAGAGGTGAGGTCAATTCCCCTTGTTTTCCGAGGCAGTGTTGACGAACACTCGTCGAAAAGGGACTCTCGTCGATTCTATCTTCTTGTTTTGTGTGATATAGAGCTGAAATAAACGCCGTATGGATTACCTTCGTAACACGTATCTACACTTTGTTATTGGTGTGCCATTTTTATTCTGACAGACTGCACGTCACTGTCGAGCTATAACCTTTCTTTGCCGAGTGTCGCGTCAGTGTCGAGTTACAATCGTAAAAGATCGGTCCCGAAGCGCTTACCAACAGCGCGAATATAGCACTTCCATCAAATGCGCGCGTCCGCTCCGAGTGTGAACAGGTATTTACGTGGCTCTTGCTGACACTCTTAGTTCAAACATATCTTTTTTAACGTCGGCTCGCTCCTGCATCTCCGAGGCCGCGAAAAACGCCGCGGCAATTTGTTTCCATCTACGTCGCTTTGCAAACGACTGACGCTGGCCGCCTTTTACCAACAATGATAGTTGGGTTGACTTCTGGAGTCTTCACCGGAAGACTCGCTGCACTTCCCAACAGGCATACTGGCATATGGGACTAGTCCCATGCTGTCGCTGTAGCGCAACATATTGAATTTCGCTCAGCTGCGATGCGGCGATGAGAGGCGCCGATTCAGAAAATACGTCGGTTACATCAGCGCAGTAAAACCTACCGGCGCACCCCAACTCGTCGTCGCTAACGCTCCCATTCTCCTACTGCCGAGAGAACTTCCGGTTCCGGAAACAGCGTACGTCACGGCTTGTTTTGCGGTCAGTTGGAGAGAAAGAAAAAGTCGATATTTCATTAATTTTTTGTGTCGAAGTTAATAAACCGAGACGAAAACGGATGCCTGTTCGCCATTCAGTGAACATTGACGGTTTAATGTAAAATTTATCTGGAAAAAGTAAAAAGGTAATTTCAAGGTCCCTTTAACGACAGTACGGGTGCACACTCCTGTGTTGTTACTGGCCGTCTCCAGGACTTCACGACCGAATTCTCCAGGGGGCGTGTTCTTGTACTTGCGTACACATTGGCGATCATCTGCTTGCACTCTTTCAAGATTTTTGCAAAACGAATCTTCGAAAATATCTGAGCAGGAGAGGTACTTGAGCTTGTTGCGTAAGACGCCATCTTCTCAAAACAAGCCAGTGCCACACAACCCCCAAACCCGCAACGGCTGCTGCACGGACGAAAACAAATATAATTTGAAGTGGTTTACATTATCTTTTCCTTTTTATTGAAAAACATTTGTGCTCCGTCGAAATCATAACGCCACCATCAGTTACTAGCCCCGAGGAGGCACATTTTTCGACTTTTTAAAATTTTTTTGCAGGGGACAAACTATTTAATAGGGCGAACGAAGGCACAGTCAGCACTGCAAACCGGTGCGCCAGCTTTGACTGCGTTGCACACTATGTATGAAACTGAGTATAGGCCCGCTTCAGACGGGGCAACTCTTCCCGCAATTTCGGGGTTGGTGGCAGGTTGTTCCCTAGCTTTCCCTAGATCGACACAAATTGCTCAGATTGGGTCTGGCTCGAAGCGGACGAGCAACTCTGACTACTCGGAGATGTTTGAAGCAGCTGCAGCCAATCAGGAATGCAATATTTTCTCGTGACACCCCTGTGGTGGTGATGATGACAACTGAAGACTTAGTTCTGGTTTGAAATGGATCGTTTTTGGTAATAAACTGTTTCAAAAAGATGAGTTAGTATTTTTAGCGCAATTTAAAGATATAAACACATGTTTTTAGGATATAACTGTGCATCTAAATACTGCAAGAAAAATAAAATTGCATGATGATGGCAAGTCGTAGCAATTCGTTTGCTGTGTGTGAACGCAGGCGGCCCGTGTTGCTGGTGTTGCGACGTGAAGTTTCTGGGCAAAATTGTCGCGTCTGAAGCGGGCCTTAGGGAACTGAATTCAAAAACCAACCCACCTGAAAACGTTTTTTTTTTTTTTTTTTTTTTTTAGTATTTTTATATATATACTTTTTTTTAAGTTTTAACATATCGACACATAATTTTCACGCTAATTCACTTTTAGAAGTGCTTTTATTAACACTCTGGCTTTCTAGTGCTTACAATAGCTTCTCGGTGAGCTAATGCCGGCTCTGCAAAGGGAAAGGCATCTTCCCACGCTTTGCAGGCTGTAAAGCTGTGGCTTGCACAGCTCTAGCATGTCGTACCTCGCTCACTGGCTCCATCGCGAAGCATAGGTGCTGCATGAGTCGTGCCACACCGTAAGGCCATATAGACGCTTTGCAGCAGCTGTGCATGGAGGCCGCCATAACTGACCTTCAGTTTTTGTTTCCTCTTATTTCGTTTATTTCACTTCATCATTACCATAGCAGGCCAGGTTATTGCCTTACTAGATTTAACTGCGTCCTTTTCTAAAGCATCGGCCTTTGTAGAGGATCGTCAACTACTGTTTCAGTTGCTCGGCATCTCGGTAAGACAAGAGAAGGTCAGCAATGGCGGCTGCAATTGGGCGCGTGTGTAAAGCGTCTATACGGTCAGGTCACAGCACCTGGGACCATTGGTCACTGCACTCGGCTATTGTATGGTGGCATGGTCGGGGCATGAGGCAGGGGTACAACTTGGAAATGCTGATCTTCATCACATTTGAAACACAATGTTTATTACTTTTGTGCCGAGTTGTCAGCATTTTAAAGGTCAGAAAGCAAGCAGCAGTGACTGCAAGAAAACAAAAGTTTAAAACCGCTCTTACTGAGAATCTTTTATGAGCACTAGGAAGCCACGTAGTGTAATTAAAACGCTTCTGAAGGTAAATTAGTGTATAAATTAAGTGCTTGTGCCTCAAAAATAGAAAAAGAAAACTATTTAAATATAATTATAAGGATAAAAATATACACCAGGAGGACTTAAACCAAAACTACAGTCTAAGTTTGAAATTTGACACCTTAAACCACTAGGCCACCACCCAATTTTATTTCCAGGTTGTTTATCAAGGTATATGAATTTCGTTTGCAGCTGTCGGCTGCAAGAGAGATTGCCTTATTTACATTTATTTTACTAGCCCCACCAAATATGACAATTGACAAACAATAGAACCTCGTTTGGCGGCCGAGGCACTGTGCTTGCATCAAGGCAAACTAGCCTGGCTTGGTAGGCTTATATTTTGTTTCATCACCCGTTTAGGATTCTGTTGTCGCTCATGAAAAGAAAAAGAAAACTGACTAATTCTGACTTATTCCGGTGTGCAGGTACCCTTGGCAGTAAACTCTGCTAAATGGGGCAAAATATATATGTTTTTTTAGCAAATATGCATTGTTTTAGCAAAATGAGCTAAGCTATTTCACTAAGGCGAAACAGAACGAGCCTCTCCACTTGGGTCTGTTTTTATCTCTTGCAGACACTATTTCCT